AAGTGGTATTTTTCTAATCATTCTGTGCTACCTTTTCCACCATGGTAGGTCTCCCTCTGACCCTTATCTTCAGTATTGGAAAGAATACAAATGCCTATGTTTCTTTGATATTAAGAGAAAACAGAAAATAAAGAACTCAGATTTCTCATTATAAAATCAACTATACTTGACAATATTAAAACTGCAACAACAAAAGTAAATTTCTGCTTTCTTTTCATTCATAATCTTGGGTTCTCACCAAGTGCAATGAAAGGTAGAATAGGAAGTTGAGAATGTAACTATAATCCTATATTGTTTGAATTTTCTGGTTTTATTTATTTTTTTAAATTTTACTGTAATTCAGTCTCTGTTACATGAAAGCATTTTGGTTTAACTGAATAGGGATAGATAAATTCTATGTTTATATCACTTTTCTTGTTCTTTCTTCCTCTCGTATTGAGTTCCTGTATTGCTTTGTGCACCACTCCTAGAAAAAAATCTAATTAGAGCTACCTATAACATTTACGCAATCCTGGCTGGAAGTTTTAATGAACTCTCCGATGCAAATCTTAAAGGTCTATCTATCATTTGCATTGACTTTGGCTGTTTTCTTCACAGAATTTTTGATGTTTATTCAGCAGCTGCAGAATGGAAGTATTTCAAGTATAGTATTCAAAACCAGTGCAATTCAGGTGAGCTGCCTTCACTCTAAACAACCAAATAATTTATGGCAAAGGACATAATCAAGATATGTGATTGGAGAAGAGGGGAAAAATGAGCAAGTACTATCAGAAATGAAACGAGAAATAACACAGTGATTATGAATAGTGGAGGGGTCTGGAGAGACACACAATAACCAATAGCAGCATAAACATTTTTGGTGTCTTTCAGTTCATTCAGTGCAATATATGAGCGTTTCTTAACTGAATTGTTACTTTTCTAGAAATACATTTTTTTCTGTGCTTGATTTTTACACTATTATTTTGTTTTGTTTTCTAAATCAGAGGAAAATAAAGAAAAGTATCACCTTCATGCTTTTTACTGAAATATGTAGAAAGTTTTGCCCTAGTCTTCTCAAAGTGATTCTTATTGTACTATATTGTAGCATATTAAATCTATTCATTTTTTAAATTATTCTATTAAAAATAAGAAAATATGTGAGAACCATTATATTTTAGGCAACAATTTCGAGTATTTTATATTTATTAATTTGTAACTTATTCAGTATAAGCTATGGCTTGTAATATGTTTTAACTGGATTTTTAAATGAGGGTTCATTTTATCTAGGATAAGATTTTATAAACTTTGTACAGGAACTATTCTGCCAAACTTCTACCTATCATGAAGTATGGAATTTAAGAACTCCACAAATACTGATCACGCATTGCTCCCTACAAGCAGGCTTTTTATATGTTCTCAGGAATGCAAAAAAAATATTGACTAGCCTACTTTGTAAGAACTTTAATTAGAGCAGGCATGTTGCTGGATCTGTTCCTGAGAAATCAGTAAAAAAAAAAAGGACCTGTGAAATCTGATGGCAAACTTGGCTGCTGTAACCATGAGGCAAGAGAATTTAAGACAAAGGATCCTGAGAGAATTTAATAAAATTAATAGCAAATCACAACCCTGGATGTCAGAAGTGACTCCTGATTGAAGTCAAATACAAAAAGGGAGTACACAGAGGGTGAAAGAAGGGATGAATGAGCTGGGAGAAATACAGACATTGCTACAACATACAAAAACAGAATTAGGGAAGCCCAAAGGTTGGGTGCAGATGAAGTTAGTAAGGGATGCGATGGGAAAGAAGGGGTTTTGTAATTATGTTGACAGCATAATGAAGAGTATGGAAAATTTTTGTCCACTGCTCAAGAAACTTTCTTTGGCTTAGTCTTTTTTTGTCTTTTAGTATGGTCTCCTTTCAGGCCTCTCAGGTCCCTTTGCCTAGTGGAAGGATCTGTTGGGTATCACGCCGCAATAGAGGAAGATGTACTTAGCCTGCAGTTAAGTAAATTAGACAGTCCTTGGGACCAGAAAGGCTATGTTGAAGGACCAATGGTTAAGGGAGCTCAACAATGTCACTGAAAGGCCACTGTCACTTATCTTTAACAGATCATGATAATTGCAGGTGTTTTCAGAAGACCGGAAAAGTAAATTTCCATGTCCACCCTTATGAAGAAAGATCCAGCTAACTACAGTATGGTTTGTCTCACCAACAAAACCATGGAGCAAATCTGTCTAAAAGTCACAGGATGGATCACTAAAGACAGTGAAGAGAAACAAATACTGGAAGAGGCTGACAAGAGAGGAACCTCCACTAGTGACAATATTTAAAAATTAACTGGGTATGACCCTCAATGGCCTAATCTAATGTTGGGCTTGATCCTGCTTTGAGCAGAGGGAATTGAATCAGACTGTAGAAGATCTCTTTCAAAATAAATTACGTTCTAGGATTGTAATGACAGAGTAAAAAAAAAAAAAAAAAAAAAAAAAAAAGTGACTTTCCAGCCACATCTGTCTAAAGCAACATAGAATAAACACTATTAAAACCCACAGAAGATTCAGAACACCCTTCATTTTATCTTGTGGAACAAAATTCTACTTTATCCAGAACATAATCTTTTCAAATCTACATAATTCAGCAGTTGGTTTTGCCAGTACTTTGAGATTTGGTCTTTTAACTGCAGACCACAAAGAAGTAGAAAATTAAATGTAAAGTTGGCTGAAGGTTTATTAGAAAATCTAAATAAGATTTTGGCTATTATTTCATGGTCAGTTTTCTTATTAAGGTATTTTTCTACCTCCAGAAGGATTTAGATATGCTATAGAATCGAAATGAAAAATATGAAATTAAATTTACTGCTTAAAGGTGGGCATACAAATATGAACAGCTGTCTTAAAAATAGTGGAGGAAATTAATTAAACTAATTAAAAAAACCCAAAACTTATAGTTTCTTCTGTCTCCTCCACTACAAACTATGAAGTTTACCAAAATATTCAAAACAGGCAAAAAATATACTGGTAAAAGTATATATTTAATTAATATTAAACAGGGAAAATTATACCAACTGTGGAAAATTTCTATGTATCTAATAAGTATTTTTTTCTTTTAGTTTAAGAATTTAGATTCAGATGTTGAGGGGTTTTTTTCACCTCATCTGTGCCGAAAAATGTGAAAAGCAAAAATAAGCCAAGTAACTGTCAAGAAGGAACATTCTCATTATTTCTAAAAAAAAAAAAAAAAAAAAAAAAAAAAATCAGTAATGTATAGGGATGGAAAATTGGACACAAATCAGAAAGCCTTTTTTTGTCTCCAGTTTTCTTTTTGATGGGAGGCACCTTAAGGCAAATGTTGCAGCTCTGGAACACTGTAAATGCAGAGGGACAGAAGGACTGAAGTTTAATATTATTCCCTCTGTACTTGATACACCCATAAAGGAAATATCTTGTTGATATAAATAAAAATGGTATCAGACCACAATTATTGGGGTGAATAAAATGCCTGATGAATAATACATTTAATGTGGCAAAAAGCTTGGAACCCAAGAGTTGCATCAATTGCCATCAGTGGGTAGAAATTACTGGGGACTTAGCTGGCATCTGGGAACATGAGTATATGAAGGCAGTGAAGGAACAGGAAAAACCAGCAGCTCTTGGAAGATAGGAGAGTAGAACCAAAGTCTTAAGAATGAAAAATGCTGAAAGAAGAACAGAAACATTTCTACATTCATTACAACTACTAACCAAGCGGAAGGTGTTTCACATGTGCTACAAACTAACTAGATCAATTTGTTAGTGCTTAAGTGGAATTTTTTTCCTCATTTATTGAAGTTATTGGGGCAATTTAAATATTTTAATGAAGGTTTCTGTCTGATTTTACTTTTGTGTGTTTGAACAGTTGCTTTGGCTTGAAGTCTTGCATATGCACGGGTTTTCTTGGGTTTTTTTTTTTTAATTGTTGTTATTTTGGGAGCTGGAATATAGAATATCCAACTTTTATGTAAAAGAGAAAAAGAATGGTCTCTGTCTCCATCTTGACTTAGGGCAGAAGAAAGTTTGTAAGGTCCAAGTTGCCAAGATGACCTTATAGTATTCCTCTACACGAAAGAGTTAATTTATGACTTAGCAATACATGTGCTGTTTTTTTGGTATTCCTGATGGGGAACCATAGTCCTGTTCTGAATTTAGTACCTTAGCAGAGAAACCATGGCACAAGAAAGGAATAGGTCACCCTTAGTTTGAAGCCTTATATAGAGTTCAAATGTAAAAAGACTTGCTAACCTGGAAACTCTGAAGTATTTTGTGTATTTTAATCTCAACTCTGGACTGGATTTTTATTTGCTAAAATCCAATCAAAGGCTATAGCTAAAACTAAAATCTATATCTATAGCTAAAACCAAAATCTCAATAAAGAATAACTATTTTAAGTTCCAAGTACAGTCCAAACTCAAGCATATTTTCATATATACTGGCTGTTTTAATACCAGATAATCTTACAGAATTTTAGAAAATATAATGTCATTGTAATTTTAATACTTATAATTGTCATTAAAAGTAATTAAGTTGTTTTTCAGCTCATTCAAAAGTACAGGTCATGGAAGTCAGTGTTCAGTATTATTGTACTATAAATGTCAGAGAGATTCTGTATGACAGGCTTAGAGTATCACGATTTTAAGCTAAAAATGACACTGTTCAGTGTAGCTGTACAGGACCTCATTTCAGAAATTTCCATTCTCCTCACATATGAACAACACCACAGCAGGGCAAAATGCTTGGCACACTCACGGTAAGTTTGCTAGTTGAGTGTTGCTTGAACTTTTGAAACCTGTACCAAAAAAAAAAAAAAACAACCCACCCTTCATAGGCCCAACCTTCTAATACCAACTTTTGAAGCCACTTCTATTTGTGGTGCTTAAAGCAAGAGGGAAGAAGGCACGAGGGGCCAGAGAAAACACTGTTCTAAGAAATAAGCATCGTCAAAATATTTACTTTTGAAGTTTCGCTATCTTATGCTTATGTCCTACCTATGTGCAGGTATCTTGCGATTCCCAGCAATCAGGATAACATCACAGAGCTGCTGTTGCTTCAAATAGCTTTCCATCTTTCTGAAGGTTTGCTCCGCATGGTGAACAGCCTGGTAGAATTCCTCGGAGCTACATGAATCCATGTCACAGGGGGGTGGCAAGGGGTGGCTGGCTCCTGACAGCCTGTAAACCACAAGGGAAAGTCCACGTTGATAAGATGTCACCAGGTATCTAGACTTCATCACAGGCATCCAGAATCTTATATAAGTAATCAATGCCTCCTTCTCAGTTCTCATCACTAAAAGTACAAGATAGAAAAATCTCACTGCATTGGGAGGGACAACTGAAGTTGTAAGTCTGTTAACACTGAAATTTTTTTATTTTTTTTTTTTAGCACAATGATGAAGCAATATATTTCTTTCTTCTTTGATAAAGTTACTAAAAATATAAATAAGAACAAAAACCAGAAATTCACATATTCATGTTAAATTTAATAGTATAGCTATGTCTTCATTATTAAACTATGACTGGGTTCTATTTTTTCAGCATTTTAGAGCAAAATTATTTTACAGAATTAAACAAACTATTTTTCTTAAATATCAATATGAACACACAAAATAAAGAAATAATAGAAAAAGTAATCTGACCTTCCCACTGATGCTAAGAGTGGCTACTCTAGTTAATTTCTTCAAATACTCATTTATTTTACATCACTCAGGAAAGAAAAATACAACTCTAATTGACTTAATTTGTAATGAATTTGGAATATTTCCACAAGGATAAACTATGTACTTACTTTTTAACCAAAAGGCTCATTAATAAAAAATTAGTTTAGCCAACATAGTTAATGATGTCTACAATTCAAAAAAATAAGGAAAAAAACCCAATCCAGAAACAGGATAAAAATGTAAATATTTTTTCATAATATATAGCCATATATTCTTAGTTTAAATTTAATCAGTTCAGTGTTTCTGCTTCAGACTTTTACTGAAAATAAGAAAATGGGTCAGCGAGCACAGGTCCTTGAGAAAAGTAATGCTAATATTTCAAAATAATTCACGACACAGGCGATACTCTCTTTTTTTACAAGTAGGTTATGAGATTGTTTCAAATGAAAGTTAAAAATTTTCTATATCTTGTGGTGCTGAAAATGAAGGATTTCATAGAAGCTGATTTTTTTTTTTTTTTTACTTCAACTAGATATATACAAAACAGCTTACATAATCACTAGAAGAGCAGCATAGGACATAATTTAGTTCAGCATATCAAACAAAATTAACAATTAATTCAAATAAAATTAATATATTCTATTAAAAAAATAACTATTAAGGATATCACATAAGACATTTTGATAATTTACAGTAATAATTCAACAGTTTCATTACATAAGGTTTGAATTCAGTAGGTACTATATTCTATGAATTATATTAATGGACCTATAACATAAAAATCTGTGGTCTTGATGCTGGAAAAAATTTGAGAAGTGCATAAAGAGAATAATTTTTTAAAATCACCTATTAAAATGAAATACAGTATCGTAAATAAATAAATAAATAAATATTTGTATGCTGGTATTGTTACCGTATGTGTGAACCTGTCTATAGGAAACCAAACTGGCAAAATGTTATTAACCATGATTCCTCAACAGAAACAGTTATGAATTTGTGATTCAGAAAGGAACATTTCCTTAATTCTGTTATAGTCAATCTTGTTATACAGTCAAGTACTTTATGCTAGATATCTCTTGCAAACTCCTCCTAAAGGATTAAACAACCATATTCATTCTGTGAGTGACATAATCTACTTATGTGTTCCTATCCAAACTGGACTGCCAACCACGTTGATCAGAAATCCAGGTTCATTTTCATATCTTTGGATGATCAACAAATAACTTTCACATAAAACAATAATCATGAAGCTAAGCTCATTAGTATGGGTAGTGGGTAGATAATTCAGTTTTCTTTCTTTTTTTTCCTCACTTTGATTGTAGCCCTATGCAGACTTATTTTTATTGCTGAAGAATTAGAATGACAAGTAATTTACAAGAAATAAATCAGTGACTAATAAATGAGGTTGCCAGAGTTAAATAGACACAGTTCTTCCCGTCTTCCAGGGAACTCAGAGGCAACAACAACCGCAATTTTGAGAAACAAAAAAAAATAAATGGAATGAGCACATCTGAATGGGTTCACATTGTTTGTTAATTCAGAATTCAGGTCTAAGTCAGTTTACATTTGAACAGATAAAGTACTAATCCTGCCTCTTCTTGGCTATTCAAAAGATTTTCAGGTCAGAAGAAAAGAAGTACCCTGACTGAATTTATGCTAGTCCTATGAAGTTAGACTGGGCTGCAATGAGATTAGTCTATTTTGTTCTTGAATTGCTGGACCATGTTTGCCACAAATTTTGCCCTCTTTCCTGCTTGCCATTTATAAACAACTCTTTCCACCTTCAAACTCATCAGTCACTTAGCCAGTCATTAAAAGACTACTCAAAAGAAAGTCTCAAAGAGCCAGCATATTTTAAATTATTATCCTGAAAACTATCAAGCAGTAAGTTTAGTAGAAGACAATAGGCTAATCTTTTATTTATTTTCGAAGAAAGCCCAGACAAAAAGTCTGCTACTTAACCTATTCAGGAGCTACCTCTTTTTCATCACAAATACTCTGTCTGCTTAATCAGTGCTTTCAATTCAGTCAGCAGCTTGGTAAACTAGGAATTAGTTAAAGAGCTTCAGCCAGAAAGTGCCAGCTACTTTCTGCAGTTTGTCAAAGACATGTATAGGTTCTAAAGACCAATTAGCAATATGAAGATATCATTTTCTCTTTCCAGATATTGTTTCTATTTAGGTGCAGACAATCTGAACCATCTATGCAGTGAGATGCTTGTTGATTGCATTCTGCAGGAACTCTAGCACAAAATCACCTAGATTCCCTGAGACTTTCAAAACCCTTTTTATCACCTGTGTACCTCAAAATTCTGTAATCAGTAAACAGGGCAGACTCCAGATGGGCTTCTTCCATAATCTTTCTCAGCTGGCAAGTACAAAACTTGAATTTAGTGTAAGAATTTCAAACATTCAGTAGTTGTTCAGACTAAAACACTTTTTATCTTTAAATGATTTAATTAATAGCACAGAAATAAGGAAACCAAACCTTTCACAAGATTATGACAGTGATACTGAAGGGTGACACTATAGGAGGAGAAAACTAAAAGTCTCACAAAAATTATCAACATTGCGAATAACCAATAATCTCAAATGTTTCTTTAGGAAACGAGAGTGCATATCACAATTAAAAAAAAAATAAAAAGGAAAAAAAGATCCACCTCAGCAACTTTGTACAGTCTAATTTTCAGTGTTAAGAACACAATGCTATCCTCAAAGGAGAAATGTTGTAAGAGCCCAAATGTGTTGATGTGAAAATTCAGCCTTTGAGCCTTTACGGATCTTAAAATAGTGTAATAGAAATAAAAGCTTAACTCTAGGGATTTACACATCTGACACAACAGTGCTCCCCTTTTCCTAGAAAAAGCACTTTGATTTCAACAAAGGTGCTATTCTCTAATCACCTTTTAAATGCTCCTGACTTATTTAAAAAACAGGCAAAACAGCAGCAAAATCCCAGTAAAGTGAAGTGCACTGATTCTTCCCTCAGTTTAATAACCCTTTATGTAAGTATTTAGGGCAGCTCACTGTAAGAAGGAAAAGGCACTCTGGCCAAAGGTATCCTAGGGACAACTTTAAGACCTTCAGCTTTTTTGTCCAAGATTAGATTTATTCAAGTATGTATTGGGTTTGTGAGGCAAGATAAACACAGGTTAAACCTCAGAAGATATTTTCAGACAGACTGGCTGGTACCCTACAATTATGCAGATATCTAATCTGGTATCCCCTCTACCTTGTAAAATACATTATGACCATACTACACAGACTTGATTTTTGCTCACTGACTTTACACCCAAATAAGCTATAACATAAAGAAAAGAAAAAATGAATAACTTTAATTTACAGTAATGCTGTTGGGGAGTTAGAGAAAATACCTGGAAAAAAAAATGACCTCACATACAGGTTTAGCTACCTGTATCTTTCTTCTCAGAAAACAGGAAAAATATTAGTAAAACTGCCACTCTTGAGCTGCAAAGGTTTGAAAACAGCAATAGCTAACATCAGTGCTTAAATATCCTGAGTAAGTTTGAAAATGAAAAAACATAATTACTTTCAAATAGAGGTGAGAGAATTCATGTGCAGAAAACTGTGTAAAGCAGAGTACTTAGGTGTTTTACATACTCAATTAGAATATATGTCTCCTGAATTCCACTGAAGCCCTGGCCTCACATAAAGAACTCTTTAATCATAAAATATCATATCATTTCTTTGTTACTAGAATAGCAAATCCTGCTCTGTTTAACTTTATTTCACTTTTCACTTATGCAGGATTGACCATGAAAACTCATCCAAAACAAGTTCAATGTGATTTAGTGTATATTACTTGGTACGTTTCTGAAGTACATAGTCAAGAAACAAAGTATGTCCAGTCCTTCAGTGAAAAAAATATTGGTTTTATATTTATAACTTGCAAAAGCATATAAGAAATATTCCGTATTTTAGAGTGAAAAACATCTTCACACAATTTGTTCTCTCAAAATTGCTTATTGAATGCTCAGAAATCAATAACCTGAAGAACTCTACTTACCGAATTAAGATGGAATGTCAGTGTCATGGCTCTCATTAGTGATCACTTGCAAAAATGCAAGAGTTTTATAAAGACTTTAAACCATTTTCTTACATCAACAGCAGGGCTGAAATTCTGTTTGTAGCCAAAATACATGCTTTTCATTCTGCTACCATCAATTATATCTAAAACTAAAGGCTCTGTCCAAAGTTTCAGTAGGGTCCTATAAATGTTTTTTTATAAATGACAAAGTTAGGTAGAAGTGCCAGATAAAGAAGTAATCAGAATATCAAATTCGACTCTTAAATATACCAGTTTAGCTTAGACATGCATTACTGCTGTCTCATATATACCTTTTCTATGTTTAAAAAAATATAAAATTAAATGGAGTCCAGTGCACATTATAAACTTATTGTTCTCATTCTATATATAATCCTGCATAATGTATAAGTATGAAATGAAAGGTAGCCCAGATAGAAATGGTGTCATTACTGGCAGAATATCTATTTTATATAACCCTTCCAGTCAAAAACCTTGTTAGCAAATGTTTTGCCCAAGTTATGCAAATT